TAAAATTGGTTTTTCCATTCCTCCACCAAAAGGCAGTTTGGCCAATATGTTTGTCTAGCCCTTCCTAGACAGAAAAGGGCTGGCTGCACTTATCAGCATCTTTCAGTGTTAGACTATTGCAATGCATTCTCTTGTGGAGTGCTTTTGAAGACTACATAATAAATTTAATTTGGGCACTATGCTGTGTTACTTCTTTAATTATAAACTGTTTCATTCAGAAATAAAGTAAAAGAAAATTCTTTTCAGTTTTTAAAAGACAGAAAATACATTTTGAGAATTCAGTTGCTACAATTAGATAATCTACACTAGAGATAAGACAAGCAGAGTAGTATTAAAATACACATGTCCTGCCTCTTGACTGGAATATGTTTATTAAGCAAACCTAGGCAAAGCTTCATTTCCTTAAATTCTGACTAGCATAGGTGCATTTAAATACCATTTCTCCCCCCAAAAAAGCATTTCCCCCATCAAAAGCAGACTTTTGGGTTGAATTTTTTAAATTTTGGCGAAAATATATATATAGTTCTCAACTTGTGACCACAATTGAGCCCAAAATTTCCATTGCTAAGTAAGGCAGTTTTTAAATGAATTTGGCCCCATTTTATGAGCTTTCTTGCCATTGTTGTTAAGTGAATCGCTACAGTTAATACAGTTTTTAAATGAATTTGTCTTCCCCGTTGATTTTGCTTGTCAAGATTGCTTGTCAAGATTGCAAAAGATGATCACATGATCCCAGGACACTTCAACCATCATAAATACATTCCAATTGCCAACTGTCCAAATTTTGATCATGTGACCATGGGGATGCTACAATGGTTGTAAGGGTGAAAGCAGTTATAAGTCACTTTGTTTAGTGACCTTGTAATTTTGATTGGTCACTAAACAATGAATGGTTGTAAATTGAGGACTTAATCAAGGACAGAGATAATAGAGAAAGTTGGAAACAGATAATAGTAAATGGTAGAGTTTATAAAAATATTTTGTAAAGTACTTGAAAAAGAAAATGAAAGAGAAATTTGAGCTGTTACATAAACAAAATAATACATTTCCTAATTAGTAGCAGAGGTGGAACTCTTTCTTCAATTCTAAGCACCCTAAAATAACTTCACAGCCATGGATCACCAAAGAAAGAAAAGTGAAGACAATGAAGTTCTGTTATTTTGATAATGGCAGAGATAGAAAGATGTAGTGATATGAACTCCCTACATTTTTGCCTTTAAAGGGAGTTCATACCAGTACATCTTTCTAACTCTGCCATTAACAGAATAACAGAGTTGAAAGGAACCTTGGGGGTATTTTTGTCTCCCCCTTCCCCTGTTGAAGCAGGAGACCCTGCCTATACCATTTCAGATAAATGGCTGTCCAGTCTCTTCTTAAAAATCTCCAGTGATGGAGAACCCACAACTTCTGAACACTAGCTCTTCCATTGATCTCAGTTCTCTGAGGGAATAGCATGATTCCTTCCTTCCTCTGTGCTTTTACTAATCCTTCTTATTCTACTGAGTGCAGAATTATTACTTACAAAAAAACTTGGGGTTTATATTACAGTTTCAGAAAAAGTAGAATGTGCCTGATTGTTTTTCCTCTTCTGTATATGTCAACCTAACAAGATACGTAGATCTGACAGAAAAAAATGAGTAGATGAGCTAATTGTACTTTATTATAAAGCTATATTAACTGAAACTTACAAGTCTGAAAGTACATATTTCCTTCATTTCTCCTTTACAGCCCAAGAAAGTAATGTCAGCCTTCCCAGATTCACCAGATAAAAAATACAACTAGATGAGCTAATTGTACATTATTATAAGGTTACTTTAACTGAATTTTGCAAGTCTGAAAGTACAAATCTCCAACCATCACTTTTAACAGCTTGATTAAGTAGTCCTTCCTAAGATAATTTCTCTGAACTTTAAGGCACTGGGAGGTCCTGTCTAATCATTATTTTGGCATCATCTCTTCCCCTCATCACTCAAGGACTTTCTTCCATAACATAACAAATAGGGTCTCTTTTGAGCCCGTTGCCCCACCCACAATCCTACTGTGGGTTCAGCTGCCTTTTATCTGTCCATCCCCTTGGTTGTGTCTCCTTTCTCTGTCTCCCAAGGTCATTCCCATATGCCATCACAATATGAAATGCTGCCATATACACTTTTTTTTGGCCCAAGGTATTATCTTTTCTGAGATACTTACAATATGCTGTTCAGAAATTCTTCAACATCTCTGAAATGTGGTTTATATGCCAATTTCTTCCTAAAGGTGGATGGATATTTCCCTTAATTTTATTATACAACAACAATCTTGTGAGATAGATTGGGCTGAAAGACAGTGACAATATCAAGGTCACAATCCATTCGGTCAATCAATATATGTCACTGGTACTCAGATTGGAGGCATTATAACTTTCCTAGCTGCCTCCAAATCTAATTCATTTGATTCTTATAGAAATTCTATATTTATTACTCTAGTTCAATCACTTTGGCTTATGAATTCCCAAGAGCTTTAAACTGCTTACCCATCTGTGAAACATTGGCTCATATCGCTAGCTAACAAAGGAATATATTCTTGGGAATTTAGCAATAGCTCCATTATACAGTCAAAGGAGATTGATAGTTTTGGATGGGCTGTTGCTATCAGGACATTTTCAACCTCCATAAGTTCTTTTTGGAATTTTAGAAGAATATAACTTCTGTCACATCCTTTAACACAATAAAGTAATATTTATAATCATATTTAAAGATACAATTATTGTTTGTAACAGGGGTCCTCAAAGTTTTTGAACAGGGGACGGATTCACGATCCCTCAGACTGTTGGGGGGACGGACCGGCAGGGTGGGCATGGCTAGGTGGTCATGTGACTGGGTGGTGTGGCCAATTTAGCAGTTCATTTTGCCTTTCTCCTTGCTATACTTGCTCAACCCAAGGAACCTATTTACTTAAGACCGCCCCCAAAGGGAAAAAGAGTGCAAATTTTCTTGCCACTTGCCTAACTTAATTACAACAGCAGCTTCATGCTCCTTAAAATAGGCCATTTAAAAAAAACAGGATTTCCTTCAAAATAACTCCTGATCAGATGACCACACAATAAACCAGACTGAGAACTGCACCAATTAAGACTGCAACTAAAACCTCCAAGATGGGCATTGAGAGACATTGGAAGCAGGAGAAAGAAGGCGAGAATCAACACACACACACACACACACACACACACACTCCAATGGTGAATTAAAGAGGGATAACAGTCCCTCAGACTGTGGGGGCCGGACTATAGTTTGAAAAAAACATGAACAAATTTCTTTGAACACTGTACACATCTTCATTTGTAGTGCAAAAAAACATGAAATAACACAATATTTAAAATGAAGAAAAAATTTAACCAATATAAATATACTATTAATTCAATGGGAAGGGTGGGCCTGCTTATTTGGGATTGCAGGGCTAAAGGTCTTTTAAGCCAGGAGAATTCACAAACTGATTTGCTTTTTGCCAAACTTCTGCATGTGTATATATACGCATATGAATATCTACAAAATTGTTCAGCAACCAATTTGGTGGATGTACTTTATATATGGGAAGAATCAAAGCAGTGGGTGAATTCTCCTTCAGGCATTATAGTGTGGTTGCATTTGAATTAGTGTTAACCAACTTCAGCTGATTTTGAAAAAGCTAGGAGATGTGGAGACATGTCCCACACACACCCACTTTTAAAGTGCTACTTTAACAGCAGCCCCTTCCCTACTCACCCACCAGCCCTGGACCACATGGCTGTTTTTTTAAAGCACTTTTAAACACTTTTAATACACTACTTTACAAGCTGACAGCTGCTTTGTAAGCCAGCACCACCCCCTTTCCTCTCACCCACCAGCCCTGGATCACATGGCTGTGAAAAACATCGGAAAGGCTGTTTTTAAAGCACTTTTAAAGACTTTTAAAGCACTATTTTACAAGCTGGCAGTTCCTTTTCATCCCACCACTCCGCAGGCCGTATACTTTGCATTGGTGTGCCGTATCCGGCCTGCGTGTCGTAGTTTGAGGATGCCTGGTTTAAAAACCAGAAACAATATATATTTGCTTATGTTGTTTATAACCAAAAATGTATCACATACTCTATCCCTTAATATACTGTATATTGTATATTTCAGTACAATATGTATCCTATTTTTGAAGACTGTTTCGTATGACAATAGTGAATTGAGGCCCCATCCAGCTTGCTAAAATTTCACATTGATGGCTTTTGATACAATTGTTGCAAAAACTAATTTGCAAGATATTGCATTGTTTGTGGTACAGTGCTAATGACAATATAAAAATAACAAAGGAGGCATAAATCCTGGTTCCTATTGTTTGTATAAAAAGGAGATAAATAAGCAGAGATAAATTCTGATTGCTGTTTATCGTGGAGATTTTATTTAGGGTGTGAATTGGGGAACTGTATTTTTTCAATTTTGGCAAAATTGGATCTCCTTAGCATATGCATTATGCACCCAAGGCTAGAATTAACCAATGTGATAACTCTAACAGCCCATCTATGGGAGGACTTGGCATGTGGTATCTATATCTCTTCATAGCCATGTAGATTGAAACGGAGGTGGATAGGGAACCCAGTAACTCTGAAGCTTTAACATCTGGGAAAGGCAGGATGAAAGAATAACATGCTATATAGTACACTAGTATGGTAACATGATGCAGCTAGGGACAGGGGCATTTCTGAACCAGGAAGAAAATATAGCACCAAAATATAGCATTTGGGTAGCTGCTGGTAAAAATGACATGTACACTCAGCTCATTTTGCAACTATCAGAATCATTCTTAGAAGGGTATCACACAAACTAATACAATTTTAAAGGGTCATGGCATCATGCTGCCTGAGAACTTTGCAAAACTCTGCTGCCCAGAGTTGTTGGGTATGAGATGGATGGCAAATATATTTTCTAAATTAATTAAACCAATAAATAAAACTCTATGAAAAAGAGCAGCTGCTAATTTTGTTTTGCATTTTTCAGGAGACACTGATAGACTGGTGTGATGAAAAAGAACTCAACTTGATTTTAACAACTGGAGGAACAGGATTTGCACCAAGAGATGTCACACCTGAGGTGAGATAGTTCATTTTCCTATTTTAAACCATTAATATTTCTCAAACACTAATAATATATATTTATATATATTATACACATATACATATACATATATACATACATACATATACATACATATATATATACACATATATATACATATACATACACATACATACATACATACATACATACATACATACATACATACACATGCTTTGGAACTTGTATATTTGATGTACTATGAATATTCTGTTTCTTAAAGAAATAAAATACCTTTATTAAACAACTGAAGAACATAGAATTTATTTTACTTGACTCCATCAACAGGTTTCTATTTTGTCTCTAGGCTACTTTGCAGTATTCCTGTTTATCTTTTGTAACATATACCCTTAATTCAGACATGGAGATTTTTCTTAGGTAGTGATTTTCAGGGTAGAAAATATTGCAAATCTTTAAGGCAAATCAAATCAAACGTCCTATTATAATCTTTTACCAGCCTATACAGTAAACGAAAAGGGCAATTTAATACAGATGCAATGAACATGAATTTGGGCAAACAGTGGAGGACAGGGACACCAGGTATGCTATGGTCCATGGAGTCATGAAGAATCAGACACAATTGAGCAACTGAATAACAATTTAATGACAATTTGTTATTGGGTGGGGGACAGGGACAATGAGGCAATGCCAACATATATAATTAAATGTTTTGCATAATTATATAACTTTATGACCACCTTGTGTGTGAGTGTAGAGTTAGTATCTCTTAAAAAGTAATAAATTTAAAATTTATCACCCTCAAATTTAGAGATGATTGGGAAGATTAGAGTGTGTCTTGGGGGAATTATAAACAGGACCCTGCTATCCTTGTGGCAGGTTCCTCACCTTCCTATTTGTGGTCTTAATTTGGTTGGTACCGTTCACTTTATTTTTGCAAACTCTGCTCTCATACCAGAATATTATTGTTTAGAAATATTTATGGTATGATGATCAACTGCTCTTTTCATTTGAGATATTTGGCATGGTCCATAAACTAATATTTCTTATGTATATTACCATTCTAGATGCTTCTTAATGCATATTGTGACAAAATTATGTTTCTTTAGCACATCTATCATTTGTTGTTTAATGGTTTCTATGAAGTTAAATTATATATTGTAATGCCCTACGTATTTGGATAAGGAAATCACTTAAAGTTAGATAGACTGATGTTGTCCTGTTGGGTGGAGGTAGATGGAATACCTGTTTGATGGTGATACCACTCTTCACATTTCTGTAAATTACAGCGTGGAAGTATCTATGGGAAATAAAACAGACATAATTTTTATGTATTTAGAGAGTCTCAGATCAAATGATTTTTGTGATAGTTTGCTCCAGTGATATAATTTTAGATTTATTCAAAATTGTAGGAGTAAGAGAATGATACTCTTACTACCACCAAACCTCTTATAATATAATTATAATAAAGACTTGATTAGGTTTAAAGATACCACAAAACTGTTTATTATTTAAACTGAAATGTTGATTAACTTAGGTTTGCTGTTTTATTGGGTTTGGAGATTTTAGTCATTGATTTTATAATAATTGCAAACTGCTTAGAATCTCTAGAATACAGCAGCACACAAATATTTGAATAAATAAATAAATAAATAAATAAATAAATAAATAAATAAATAAATAAATAAATAACATATACCCAAAGTAAACTGCAATATTTACAATGCTAAAAATAATATCAAAAATAAAGGTGAAGTAGGAGAGAAATTTGAGAATTTTCCATTTTTTATTTTATTTTTTCCAAAGCAGTATTCTTTTCACAAAAAAGGTGGAATCAAAGGATTACTGGTGAAAGACGGATTTAAAGTATCATATTGAATGAATGAATAAAAGTATATGTGCTTTGGTAGAAAATGTTTTAAAATACCCAATATTGTAAACCTAAAGTTAATAAAAGGCCACTGAACTGATGTCTTCTAATGTGCTTTTTTCCTTAAAGAAAGTTTTCATTGATTAGTTATATTGATGATTTTATCTTTACCTTTCAAACTGGCTTTTTTCTTTTTTGCTTCTATTAATAAATATATTATTTAAACAATTTTAAAAATTATTATGTATTAAATATCAACAAATATTTATGGGTTATTTTATTGAATTTGATGCAGAATCGGATAATCACATTTATTCTCTTGTTTGTTTGTTTTTTAAAGTGCTTAAATTATTATTCCCAATATTCCACAGCTTGAACTAGCCTTTTCAGATATTACATCTAAAATCTAGGTTAAGCAAGCCAAAGAAACTATTCTTTCATCTTTAGAGAGCTTTCTTAACTTCCTAGGCAGCCACACCAGTAATACGTTTAGTAACGTCACAATCAGTACTTATATCATGCTCAAGGTTTTCCAAAGGCTTACCTCATGATTCAGTTGCAACATTTTCCAAGCCATTTCCATTTTTAACCATGACATTACTCTAGCAATCCATTTTTGTCTTCTCCAGTGCTTCTTCCATTTCTGGAAGAGCTATCTAATTCTATGATAATCAAAAAAGCATTTGAAATAATATTTCGGAATACTCTAATACAATAATAATCAGACATAAAGAAGAGATGTTCTTCATTTGTCATCAGAAGTCTAAACATGTGCAAGAGAATCAAATTCAATATAATTTCATACGTGAAGACTTAGTCTCTGTTCTCTCATCTATGATGGCTTCCAGAGCCAAAGTGAGTGAGTGAAGTGAGTGAGACCAGCTTACACCCCTCTTTGGTGATGCTTCTTAACATATTTGATACTTTAATTTTGTTTTTGTTTGCCAAGAGGTTAACTGACTGGTGTTCTTATTATAATTTCAAAGTATCCAAATCACATTCCTGCTGGATTTGTGCCGTAGAACTCCACAATATTCTTCAGCACAATAACTACATATATTTTCCTGCTGACTCTGAATCATGGCAAGTTTTTAAAACTTCTCTACCACTTCACAACCCCTTGTGAATATTCTCTACCATGATTCAGATCCAGGTAATTATTACTTTGGCTCTTCCACCAAGTTTTCAGACAAGCTTTTGCTTATGTAATCAGACAGTGGAAGACCAGTTAGTATTTTCTCTATATGAAGATACTATTGCTACGATTTACAGAAGTGCTAAATCTTGAAGCTCATTGTGGAAAATAATTGGTACACAAGTCAATATGCCTCCATCATATCAACTCCAGCTCTTTAGAAGAGTAGCCATTCCAAAATCATCAGCTCTCTTCCAGTTTTAAGAACCGCAAATATAGTATGTATCAAGTCCATCTTGTTAATAAGAAATCCTCTTGAACATATCATATATGATGAGTATAAGTCTCTTGCATCACCTCTACTGCCCTAATCCTAGCAATTTATAATTTTAAATTATCTATTTTATAAAAGATATTTTTCTCTTATATGTATACTATAGCTATTTTCCTCTAAGGTTTTCCTAAAACCTCTTAGTTTTAGAGAAAGTTGTTAAGAGCTGGCTTTTCCCTCAGGCACTGAGATAGCAAGGTTGGAGCCTGGAAACTATATAGTTGGATAGATATTGTTGGTTTGGCAACAATATTTCTTGTTTGTTGGATTGTTTTATTTTTCTGTTTTTACTATAACTGTTAAGTTCCTTGAGTCACATGATAAGATGGGTGGCCATAAATCTTTTATATAAATAATTAAACATAACATTGCCAGATTTTTTTTAAAAAAAGATTTATCTCTTTACATCTTCCTGCAAGATGTTCCACACTAAATGGTTTAAGGATATTAACTTGAGATGTAGATAAGGAAAAATTATTATCTGTATTGCAGTATTTCCCAAAAAGATGTTTCATGAACGCTACAGAATACCACTTTGGATGTTAAGTAGCGAAAACTAACTACAAATATGCTGAGATTTAATTTTGAAACACAGTAAAAATCTAAACAGTATGCATATCCATTTTCTAGATTAAGATTACAATGAAAAAATATCATGTAAAAGTGGGGTTTTTTCATAAAGAGCACTAGAGTCTTTTTCTTGCTCTACATTAAAAATGATATTCTTACATTATTTCTGAGTAGCACGCTTTACATTTGAGCTATTTCATCATGGAAATCCATTATTTCTTTTGTACATTTTTATCTGTTTTGAGTTGATTACACCTTGTTTCAGGAAACTATCTTCTTTAGCTTTTTCATGTATTTATGAAAGATATCCCTTTTCTCTATAATTGCATCAAATTCAAAAAAGTTTCAGACTCCTTGGGGTATTTAGGTGGAAGGTTTTCTATAAATGACATTTTTTGTTTGAGGGAGGCGGTGCTATTTTTTTATAAGCTTTTGGAGACATTATTCTTCTGCTAAGATTCAAGCTCTAATCCTAAGAAAAGTTTCCATATGTTAACTAATTGAGGAATTAAATAAGTAGTCCAAAATAAGAGATTTTTTCCAAAGCTAATGAGATGAGCCCAAGAGCCTTAGCTAACAAGTATTCATCTTATCTATAAAATCTTCAACTAACAGCATGGATAATGTTCCCAATTACTTTTCACAGGATTTCATAGACTTTCTAGTTGCAGTCTAAATATTGCATTGCCATTCATTTCCAGCCAAATGGACCCATTATTCCAGTAGTCTTAATAATCTGAGTACCCAATTAAAAGTTTTTGACAACAAGTATTCTAATGTTTTATTTCCCTGTGTTGCAGGAATTGAGCTTATCTTCAAATAAGATATTTCCTAATTACTTATTCAGACTTTCTTTCAGCTTCATACAAAAGACCTTCTCAAGGGTCTCCCTTACCTGTACCTCCCTGACAGACCTCAGGTACAAATCTGGAATCCCTCACTTATCCTTTTCTTCTTGACCAATAACTGTTCACCAGATACAAATGGTGAGCCAGTTAAAGTTTGGGTCAGGATGTTCTGGTGATGGTAACTCATGCAGTACTTATGATGGGCTTTAAAAATAATTTGAAAGCTTTCATTTGTGCCAAATACAGTGACCTACTTATTTATAG